AAGTCCCTCTGTCCCCAAATCCTTTACTCCCTCCTGGAGCAAGTCCCTGTGTCCCTAAATCCTTTAGTCCCTGCTCCTGCAGCTCCATCCCCAGGAGAAGCAGAGCTCAGCTCCTGCAGCGAGGTGCTGCTCGGATCTGGGACCTGAATCCCCTCTGTTCCCAGCCTGTGAGGTGTTTTCTGCTGGATTTTCCGAGTGCTTTAACACGTGTCTGCCCAGAATTGCCCAGTCCCTCTCCAGCTCTCCCTTATCAGATACACAGATAAGAGCTCCGTGTGTCGGATCAGCCAGGCTGTGCTGACAAGGACAAGCACGGGATTAAAAGCAAGGAAGATATGTGGGACTCAGATTCAGTCAAAGAAACAAACTGAGAGCTTCTAGCCAGGCAGATGCCTGAAAAAGAGCTAAAAATATATATAAATAATTATTTATATCTCTTATTTTTTCACATTATTTATAATTAAATTCTATCACTATGCGTCAAGCACTCTACACCAATACTATAAATTATTTTCACTTCAAAACCAATAAATTTAGTCCTTACAAAGCTCGATATAAAAAGTATATTTTAAATAAATCAGAGTTTTACTCTCAGCAACCTTCTGAGCCAGTCTTCTCATTCCCATCCTGCCTCGATACAAATCCTAGAGGAGCACACAAGAGGGAATCCCACTCCCTGCAGGGGTTTCCAGTGCTCTGCTGCCCACCCATCCTCTGCTGGGATCAGGACAGATTTCCCCGTGCCCACCCCTTGCCCATGCAGCTCAATCCCTGCTTTTAGGGATTTGCTTCCCAAGTGGGGTGGAAGCAGCAGAGGTTTTTGTGCATCCCAAGGGCCTCTCCTCACCCACCCTCTGCCCCCTGGCCATGCCACCCCAGCCAGGGCCTTGTTTGGGAAAAACAAGTAAATAAACACCCAACCCACAGCACAATCCACCCTGGCCAACTGCTCACGCCCTCCCTCTGCCAGAAGTGGGTTCAGAGGAGTCGATGGTTTTTCATGGTGTGGGTGTGATTAATGAACTTAATCACAGGACACTTTGATCCATCTCTTGTTTTTAAGGGATAGTCAAAAACAAGAAGAACTGCTACCCTTTGTGCTTTTGTAATTTTGTTAATCGTGGAAACCTGGGAGACTTTTGCATAGTCAGCACTTGCATGCATTAGAAAATATATTTGCAAAACACAACAACACTTGCTTTCATATTCCAAAGCCAGCGAGCATATCCTAGTTGGCAGAGAGCTCAAAGGAAATTTATGAAGACCCAAAAATCTTGCAGGAATTTAATTAAGCCCTAATCTTGGTAACACTCATACATATCTGCTTCCACAGTGTCGTCTGCAGGCACAGCTGCTTCTGTGTTTGTGTCTGGGGTTGTCTCAGCTCAGTGCACAGCAGGCTCGTGGGTAAACCTGCCCAGCTGGGGATGGCCCTGCTGGGGCAAATCCCCCTGTCCCCAAAACCTTCAGTCCCTGCTGGGGCAAATCCCCCTGTCCCCAAAACCTTCAGTTCCTGTTGGAGCAAATCCCCCTGTCCCCAAAACCTTCAGTCCCTGTTGGAGCACGTCCCTCTGTCCCCAAAACCTTCTGTCTCTCATGGAGCAAGTCCCTCTGTCCCCAAATCCTTTAGTCCCTGCAGGAGCAAGTCCCTGTGTCCCCAAATCCTGTAGTCCCTCTGTCCCCAAATCCTTTAGTCCCTCTGTCCCCAAATCTTTTAGTCCCTGCTGGAGCAAGTCCCTGTGTCCCCAAATCCTTTATCCCTGCAGGAGCAAGTCCCTGTGCCCCCAAATCCTTTAGTCCCTGCAGGAGCAAGTCTCTCTGTCCCCAAAATCCTTTACTCCCTCCTAGAGCACATCCCTCTGTCCCCAAATCCTTTATCCCTGCAGGAGCAAGTCCCTCTGTCCCCAAAACATTCAGTCCCAGCTGGAGCAAGTCCCTCTGTCCCCAAATCTTTTATCCCTGCTGGAGTAAGTCCCTCTGTGCCCAAATCCTTTATCCCTGCAGGAGCAAGTCCCTCTGTCCCCAAATCCTTTAGTCCCTGATGGAGCAAGTCCCCCTGTCCCCAAAACCTTCAGTCCCTGTTGGAGCTAATTCCCCTGTCCCCAAAACCTTCAGTCCCTGCTGGAGCACGTCCCTCTGTCCCCAAATCCTTTATCCCTGCAGGAGCAAGTCCCTGTGTCCCCAAATTCTTCAGTCCCTGTTGGAGCAAGTCCCTCTGTCCCTAAATCCTTTATCCCTGCTGGAGCACATCTCTCTGTCCCCAAATCCTTTAGTCCCTGATGGAGCAAGTCCCTCTGTCCCCAAATCCTTTATCCCTGCAGGAGCACATCCCTCTGTGCCCAAATCTTTTATTCCCTCTGTCCCCAAATCTTTTAGTCCCAGCTGGAGCACGTCCCTCTGTCCCTAAATCCTTTATCCCTGCAGGAGCACGTCCCTCTGTCCCCAAATCATTTAGTCCCTGATGGAGTACATCCCTCTGTCCCCAAATCCTTTAGTCCTTGTCTGCCTCTCAACTGCAGCACTGCTTTTCAATAGGAACAAAAAAAAAAACACCAAAAAAACAAAAAACAAAAAACAAAAAAAACCCCACCAAAAAACCCCAAAAAAACCCCAAAACCACCCAAACCCAGAGGTCTGAGCATCCTGCATGCCAATCCCAGTTCCCACTGTCCCTGCCCTGCATCCCAAATCTCCCTCCCCGAGCACAGGGAAGGCATTTGGGTGACCCCCCCTGCAGGGACGCAGCAATGCCCGCAGAAAGCAGACAGAACATTATGTAAAGGGAGGAAATTTAGACTGAATTTCAAGCTGAAACTCTTTTAATTAGTAAACTCTTTGCTGGAGAACCATTTCCATTGGTGGGGACGTGATTCCTCATTGCTTGAGGGATTTAAAACCAGACTGCTCTCTGCTCCAAAAAAGTGCTATAAGCAACAGTTCTTTGCTTGTAATGAACTGGAAATACTGGCACGTCTCCATCTCCTTCACATATTTTCCCTTGTATCTTCAGAGGTTAAAATAAATTATCCTGAGATGTAACAGATGTAGAATGCAGCCAGTGACATTCTCCAGCTTTTTCGGCTGAGTTTTCTTTCCTCATGGAAAGGAGCATGGAGCGTGGCCATGTCACCCTCCTGGGCTTTGGGAGGTGGCACTGGTGGCACCTGCCTGGTCACTGTGGCCCTGTCCTGTCCTGAACCCATCCAGCTGAACTGAGATGAGCTGCCCATCACACCAGTCATTAGCACTGCTGTTAATGAAGCTACCAGAAACCTCCTCTGGAGCAGTGCAGCGCTTCCTGCAGCCTTCCAGCATCCATTCCCATCAGGAATGGGCACCACAAGGATAAAAGTGACCCAGCTGGAACCCCAGGATTGCTCAGCCCCTGGAAACTCAACCCTGCTCAGCCCCTGGAACCCCAGAATTGTTCAGCCCCTGGAAACTTAACCCTGCTCATCCCCTGGAACCCCAGAATTGCTCATCCCCTGGAAACTTAACCCTGCTCATCCCCTGGAACCCCAGAATTGTTCAACCCCTGGAACCCCAGAATTGTTCAGCCCCTGGAACCCCAGAATTGCTCATCCCCTGGAAACTCAGCCCTGCTCAGCCCCTGGAACCCCAGGATTGCTCATCCCCTGGAACCCCAGAATTGCTCATCCCCTGGAAACTCAGCCCTGCTCAGCCCCTGGAACCCCAACCCTGCTCATCCCCTGGAACCCCAGAATTGCTCATTCCCTGGAAACTCAGCCCTGCTCAGCCCCTGGAACCCCAGGATTGCTCAACCCCATGAACCCCAGAATTGCTCAGCCCCTGGAACCCCAACCCTGCTCATCCCCTGGAAACTCAACCCTGCTCAGCCCCTGGAACCCCAGAATTGCTCAACCCCTGGAAACTCAGCCCTGCTCATCCCTGTCCCAGCACTGCCATTTCAGAGTGGGAAGCAGGAGGGATGGAGCTGTGTGAACCATCAGGGAATTTTCTCCTGGGAGAGACAAATCTTGCCCAGAGAGGAGCCCACAGCAGGATTTGGAAGCAGTGAGGTGCAAAGGGGAGAGGGCCTGTGCTGCTTTGCCCACAGAGCTGGTTTACAACAGAAAACCTTTTTTTGCTGTACATTTTTGGCCAGTTCTGACAGCAGATCCCAGTCAGCCCAGCAGGCACCAGCAGCATCTCCTCTCCTCTCCTCTCCTCTCCTCCCAAACTCACTCAGTGCCCCAAGGGGAGCATCACGGAAGTCAATTCCTGCAGCAGCAATGGAAAAACATCTTTGTAAGCACAGAAAACTCCTGGCACTCCCCTCCCACACTCAGGTACTCCTCGGAGTCACTTGTGCCCACAGATTCCCCATCCCTGGCAGTGTCCCAGGCCAGGCTGGACAGGGCTGGGAACACCCTGGGATGGTGGAAAATGTCCCTGCCCAGGGCAGGGGTGGCACTGGATGGGCTTTAAGCTCCCTCCCAACCCAAACCATCCCAGGATTCTGTGATTTTCCCAAGATTCCCACAAGAGAGAACAGTCTGAGCTTCCACACGAGCGAGTGCCAGGGAGGTGCAGGTACAAGTATTCAAATGACCCATCCAGTGTTTAACCACAAGTGGTTCAACAGGAATTATTTGACAATGCCAACATGTCTAGATCAGGTTTTTACACATCCACACTTTCTCTGGCAGTGACAGCACAGAAAAACCTCCTCCCCTGTCCCTGGCCTGGCTGAATCAGTGGTAGGACAGCAGCAGGGGAAGCCCCCAGCTGGCTTTTCCACACTTTTTCTTTTCCTGGGTATATTATCCAGCTTGGGTTTATTTGGAAATCAAGGTGAGCCAGACTAGGACTGCAGGACTGCATTTTCTGGGAGTTGCTCACTGGCTGGAGATTGGATTAGGGACAACGGGGGGATGACACAGGAAACAGAAGATAAGATCTAACATGTGAAAATATCTGTGAATTATAGAATTGTAACAGAATCACCTCAGGGTTTAATGCTACAGAACACAGTAAAATGTTTTTAAATATCAATTTACTAGTCCTGGTAGCTGGAGGAGGTGTCACAGCTTGGGGACAGCCAGGACAGTTGTCCTTGATTGGATTTCCCATGGCATTCCATGACATAGGAAGAAGCTGTAGCACAATAAATATTTTGGGGGAGAGAAATATTAAGATTCTTGTTTTTTCTGTATTAAAAATCAACAATCATCAGCTGGCTGTAAGGCCAGCAGCCCTGGGCTGGAAGCAGGGAGTGAGGATCAGCCTGTTTGGATGCTCTGCTCTGGAAAGGTGCAAACCCAGCAGCATCACAGCTCTGCTGCTTTTATAAGCCAACACTGTGGTTGCTCATGAGTAACTTCAAAGCTGTGCCCTTTTTTGATGACATAAACAAAACCAGCAGCAGCAGCTTTTCCATTATTTAAACAAGTCCTCAAATCCTTTGGCCCTCTTCCCTCTGCTATTTTTTCTCCCCCTTTTTTAACAAATGCCAGAAGCTTTTTCTGCAGAAAAATGAAAATTGCCAGTGGCCAAACCACCAGATTTGTGCTTTTGTTCCGTGGCCTAATGGGGTGTGAGGGCTGGCTGCAGCTCTGGAGGTGGCAGCTGCCTGTCCACGCTGTTTATTTGGCATTTCCGTGGCCACGGGGAGCCTTTGCCAGCTCCCTGCTGCATCCCCAGCACCAGGATGGAAGAGGAAGTGGGACAGAGGCTCTTCTCAGGGCTCATTCATCAGATGGAGCTGTAAAGGTGCTGCCAGCTGGGCACCCAGGAGCACCCAGGGACACCCAGCAGCCCTGGCCCTGCTGAGGAGCAGCTGCATCCCCACAGGTGGGGAAATGAATGCTTGAAGGGATCAGGAGCTGAGGGTGAGCATTTGTGTCACCCTGATTCTTAAGTTTTTCTAAAGCCTTCTAAATTTACATTCTGTTGAAAAACTTACCCACACAATTTCTGTAAATAACATATTGTTTTGCATTCCTTCATGGGGGTGGAGAAACTTGATGTACTAGTGGTTTGTCCAATGTCTTTGGAGAGGTGGCACATTCACTCTCCAATCCACTGTCACCTTTGGAAAAGTATAAAAGTTGGAGTCAGAAAATAAACTTTCTCTTTTACCTTACAAAATAGCAGGTGGCTCGTGTTGTGCTTTCTTGTGTCCTATAGTGACAGGACACCCCAGGGGGAGCCTGGGGTGGCCACCAAGCCACTGCTGCCTCTGCTTATCAGAGAATTCCAGAATGGTTTGGGTTGGAAGGGACATTAAAGCCATGAGCAGGGACGCCTTCCACTATCCCAGGTTGCTCCAAGCCCTTCCAAACGCTCCCAGGGATCCAGGGGCAGCCACAGCTTCTCTGGGCACCTGTGCCAGTGCAGCCAAATGAATTATTATTAATCACCCTGTTTGCAAAGTGGCCCATGAATAACTCCTGATTTCCTCACCCATCCATCATTCCCTCAGTGCCTGCCCAACCATTCCAGGTCCACAAGTGGGAGGAGGAATGGAGCCACGGGATCCCAGCTCAGCTGCACAATTGTTTGGATTATCTGCTGCAGCGAGTGGCCCCACAACAAACACGTCTGCTGTGGTTTGTGTGACATAAAGGGACAAAGTCAAACCCAGCTGAATGGATTCCCACTTTTCAGTTCTTATTTCCAGGAAGCTTTTCCCTAACGCCACGTGAATGCAACACAAAGGGAGAAACAAAAGAAGGATGAGGGCAGCTAAAAAACAAACGAGTTTCCCATTTTTATGATGTTAAAAATATCTTTAGAAAGGCTTTTTCTCAATTAGTAATTAAATACGAGGCTGGGCTTGCAGCAGTGGAGGGAATTGTGCAGTTGGAGCTCCCAGGATGGATGATGGAAGCTGCTCCCAGTCCACTTGTGCGATCTTGCCCTCCTCTTTGTCTCCTTGAATTTGAAATTATGTGTTTATGAGGTTAGAAACTGTTTGGCAACTTATTATTTTGCACTCGTAAATCCTTTTTCTCAGATCTCAGGGTAGTTTATAAACATGAATGAAGCCACAAACACTGGGGCAGGGCCTCTCCAATCATACTGGTCCAACAGGTGGGGAGTCAGGAGCACAGGAGCAGGGCTTGCCCAGGTTTGCACGGGAGAGGGCAGTTCCTGGAGATCTGGGGAATTTCCTTGAAGTCACACTGGGGCAGATTTGAAATACATTAAAAAAAAAAAAAAAAAAAAAAAAAAAGAGAAGGAAACTGGAAGAAACATTTTCACAGGAATACTGTTAGAATGGGAAATGCAGGCAAACTTCTTGATGCAGCATTGATGGCAAATGGTACCAACAGAGTGTCACTGATCCTGGGACAGGAACATCATAGTGGTGGTGATCCTGGGGCAGGGACACCCTGGCATTGCTGATCCTGGGGCAGTGACACCCTGGCATTGCTGATCCTGGAGCAGGGGCACTCTGGCATTGCTGATCATGGGGCAGGAACACCCTGGCATTGCTGATCCTGGGGCAGGAACATCCTGGTGGTGATCCTGGGGCAGGAACACCCTGGCATTGCTGATCCTGGGGCAGGAACAACCTGGCATTGCTGATCCTGGGGCAGGAACACCCTGGCACTGCTGATCCTGGGGCAGGAACAACCTGGCATTGCTGATCCTGGGGCAGGAACATCCAGCTTGCCCGTTCTCCTCCTGACCCCCTGTGCAGGTCCCTGGATATTCCAGGGCTAATTAAAACCCTGCCATTTGCATATTCTAGCCTGTTTGTTAATGATCCACTTCAAGGCACGCTGTGGCGCTGAGCATCCCAAAGAACGCGGCACTGGGAAGAAGCAGAAGGACGTGGGGAAAACGGGATATTTGGGATATTTGGGATATTTGGGATCAGCCAGAGGGGTGAGAATTGCTTACACGCTGTCTGGATGTGCGGATAACGAGATGCAAAGCGGCGTTCCGGCACTTTCCATTCACAGGGGAACGATCCCGCTGAAAGGACACTGAGCCCGCAGCTTTATCCCGGCTTTGGCTCCTGCTGGAAAACAACCGGGATCAGCCGCCGGCCGCATTCCTGCATCCAGCCACATGGGGCCAAAAGGAGGAGGAATTGTCGGCAAAATCTGGATCGGGATCTGCTGCCATGTGGGATGGGCACCGGGATGCCCCACATGACCCAGCCCCAACAAAATCCCTTCTCCCAGGCAAAATTCCTGTCCCACATGACCCAGCCCCAACAAAATCCCTTCTCCCATGTAAAATTCCTGCCCCACATGACCCAGCCCCAACAAAATCCCTTCTCCCATGCAAAATTCCTGCCCCACATGACCCAGCCCCAACAAAATCCCTTCTCCCATGTAAAATTCCTGTCCCACATGACCCAGCCCCAACAAAATCCCTTCTCCTATGTAAAATTCCCACCCCACATGACCCAGCCCCAACAAAATCCCTTCTCCCAGGTAAAATTCCCACCCCACATGACCCATTCCCAAAAAAATCCCTTCTCCCATGTAAAATTCCCGCCCCACATGACCCATTCCCAACAAAATCCCTTCTCCCATGAAAAATTCCCATCCCACATGACCCAGCCCCAACAAAATCCCTTCTCCCATGTAAAATTCCCGCCCCACATGACCCAGCCCCAACAAAATCCCTTCTCCCAGGTAAAATTCCCGCCCCACATGACCCAGCCCCAACAAAATCCCTTCTCCCATGTAAAATTCCCGTCCCACATGACCCAGCCCCAACAAAATCCCTTCTCCCATGTAAAATTCCTGCCCCACATGACCCAGCCCCAACAAAATCCCTTCTCCCAGGTAAAATTCCTGCCCCACATGACCCAGCCCCAACAAAATCAAGAGCTGTGGCTCAGGGCGCTGAAGCATTCCCAAATACTTCCCAGTGTACAGGGAAATGTTGGGTTGGATCTTCTGGCTGCTCCAGAAGGAGCCACTCACCCTGCTGGCACCACCCTGCCCTGGCTGAGGCTGTTTTTTAGGACATGCCAAGACTCCCAGGCAGTGTCCATCAGCCAGGGCTTTTGCCACTGGAATTGTCTCTCTGCATTTGGGAGAAATCTGGATGTAGACCCTGGGTGGGTGCTGTGCATGGAAGTGGGGAAAATCTAGGATTCATTTCCTCTGTGGCAGCTACTGTAAGGAAGAGGAATCCCATCCTGTAACAAGAAGAAAATAAAGTGTGATTAAAAAACAAAATGCATTCCTGTTAACACCAGCTTGCTTCCATCAGCCACGTGTGGAAAAGCGTCGGAGACGCTTCCACGAGGAAACTGGAGTGGCTGAGCCGAGTGACACAGCCAAAGGAAGCTGAGCAGGAATGAATCAAAGCTTTAAGCAGCGAGGGGATGCTCACTGAAGTGGCACCAGGCTGTGTGTGCAGTGAAAGGAGTTATAACACAGCCCAGCCTCTCCATGCTGCCTTCTCCTGCAGGAATATCCCCACGGATACAAAGCCTGCCCAGCTGCTGAGCAGAGCTCTGAAAGCCCAGCACATTCACACTTTAAAGGGTGAGTTTCTCACCTTCCAGAACATCACAGCAGCTCCTCGCTCCCATCTTGGAATGCTTTCCATGGAATCACTTTGGGCATTTCTCTGTTCCATCCGTTTTGTGACTCCCACACGGAGAGAGCAGCGTAAAAAACAGGGAATAAATATTCCAGCAAACCACAAAATAAACGAGAGGGCAGCTGGAGGAATCCAGAGGATCCAGCCAGGCACAAAACAAAGCTGGAAGCCTGGACAAGCTGCTTCTGTGCACCAGGAAAAAGCTTCTTGGGAGCTTCCCGAGGGCTTTCAAAGCACTTTGGGGAATATAAATTGTCCTTTCAAACAGCTGCTGCCGAGGCCAAGGCTGGAGATTAAATATTATGACAACATTTTGTAACACAGAAACTGGGAAAGCTGAGTTGGCCCCTGGATGTGGGGCAGGGCAGGGAGGAGGGGGAGCAAAGATTTCCTACAAAGCCCCTGGATCCATCAGGGACTGGACACGGTGCAGGCAGCTGGGCCTAATGATGGTAACACAGCTGGGACACGGGGGCACAGACTGCTCAGGGAGACAGAGATTCCCAGAGCCAGAGGCTGCAAATACAGCTCTGGAAACAGCTTCTTTTCACATCATTTTGCTGTCCTCTCCTGCTTCTTGCTTCTCCTTAAGGAATAGCTTGTTCCTCCATTACTCAGTGCCCTGATATTTTCTTTTTCTTTCTGTATTGTTGTTGATTTTACCATTTCCTGTGCGATTTTTACTTTGGGAATTGTGGCTTTGGCTGTGGTGTCACCCAAAGCAGTTCTGCAGGTGCTTCTCAACTGGATGTTCTCCACAACTCCTTGGACCTGGGAGGCTCAGACTCAGCAGAAAGCCCTTCCCAATCCTTCCTTTCCAGGTGGTTTTGGATGCGTGGTCCCACCATGTCCAAGTAAAGAACAGAGCAAAGCTCCACAGAGATGAGTATAATTTGATTTGAGGGACAAAACCTATGGAAATGGAGGAGCAATCCCTTTTTTTCCACGCCCAGCTGCTCTGACTGCTGCACCACGTGGGATGTGTGGAGTTAATGAAAGCCAAAACTCTGGAATTAACCAGGATCCATTACAAATTCCCACTTTGGCCAGACAACATCAGTGTTTGGTGCCTTCCTGCACTAATGGGTTCATAATTCCTCTTTTAAGGCAATTAAACCAATGAATGTTCTCGCTCTGAGTCATTAAATGAAATTAGAAGTTTCGATGCAATTAGTGAATTTAGACCTCGGGAAAGACTCTGCATTTTGTCTTAAAAATCTGGCAGGAGGTGATTCCCAGCAGCCGGATTGGGATGGCAAAGGGTGGCCGGGAATGTGAGGCAACTGTGCCCCCTGCAGACAGCCGGAATCCCTGGAAAAAGCCTGGAAAACCGGGAAGGGGAACGGAACAGCCGGGCAGGAGATCCACTCCTTGGACCTCCACCGCTTCCTCAGCCACAGCCCATCCATTTCAAGGTGTTGAGCTGAAAGGCCTCCTCCAACCTGGCTGATTTGATGGAATTTCAGAATCAAAAAACCCGACAAAGAAGCTTTGATAGCCCCAGGCCGTCACAGCTGATTTAAAAACCAATGTTTTGAAGTACAAAATGTTCCAAAAATACGAGCTGTTTTCATGACAAAAACGAAGCACTAAATTTTTGTAGGAAGATCAGTGTGTTCTCCAAATAAAAATTTAATAAATAATAATATTTTCTAATTATTCAAATGTATAATTCAATTAAATTCCAATATAAGAATACAAACTCTGTATAAAAGGTGCTAAAAAATACTGTTTTCATATGTGCCAATGAAACATTGGTGTCTCTGAATCTTACACTTTGGTATTACAGCTGAGGAAAGGAATGTGGCCCCTGAAATTCGAGGTGAGTGGGCAGGGAAATATCACTGAATCATACAGGAAGCTTTCAGGAATGCTGCAATGATTTATGTTGGACTTCCAAGATCCTGCCCTTCTCCCAGAATCGGGCCCTGTGCTGCTGCCGTGCCTCACTTTGCCACAATTTTTTTGGGAATAACTCAGAATTAGGCAGTGGGTGCCTCACTTTGCCACAGGTTCTTTGGGAATAACTCAGTTTGCCACAGGTTCTTTGGGAATAACTCAGAATTAGGCAGTGGGTGCCTCACTTTGCCACAAGTTCTTTGGGAATAACTCAGAATTAGGCAGTGGGTGCCTCACTTTGCCACAGGTTCTTTGGGAATAACTCAGTTTGGCACAGGTTCTTTGGGAATAACTCAGAATACGGCAGTGGGTGCCTCACTTTGCCACAGGTTCTTTGGGAATAACTCAGAATTAGGCAGTGGGTATCTCACTTTGACACAGGTTCTTTGGGAATAACTCAGTTTGCCACAGGTTCTTTGGGAATAACTCAGAATTAGGCAGTGGGTGCCTCACTTTGCCACAGGTTCTTTGGGAATAACTCAGAATTAGGCAGTGGGTGCCTCACTCTGCCACAGGTTCTTTGGGAATAACTCAGTTTGCCACAGGTTCTTTGGGAATAACTCAGTATTAGGCAGTGGGTGCTTCACTTTGCCACAGGTTCTTTGGGAATAACTCAGTTTGCCACAGGTTCTTTGGGAATAACTCAGAATTAGGCAGTGGGTCACACAGTGACTCAGGCCCGCTCCCACATGGGTGACTGTGCATATTCCAAAGGCACCGGTGCCTTTGCCCACTTGTTCCTCACAGGAAGGACTTGGTGCTGATCCCCCAGCAGGGATGGGGACAGGTGGTGCTCAGGTGTGCCAATAATGGGCATTTTTGGGGGGCCACACATCCCAAAAATCTGTACTGTCACTGAGCCACGTTCCCTGCGGAATGTCCCTGTTTGCCACCATCCCACCACAACCCGTAATCCCGTCATCTCCTCAGCCAGTTATTAATTAGTGTCCTCTCTCCTGCTGGTTAATGATTCTCTCGTTCCTCATGCTAATTAATGCCGTGCCCTTGTCCCGTTTAGGGTCAGGCAGTTTCTCAGGGTGTGCCCTTCCCCCTTGCTGGAATTAATTCCCTTTTACCCGGCCACAGCTGATTTCACCACAGCTGCTGAATTGGCTTTGTTGGCTTCTTCCTTGCCCCGAAGGCTCTGCCAGATGCCTTTGTGGCCCGGGAATCTGGCATTCCCAGGATCCACAACCAGGAGAAATCCTTCCTCATGAACAGGAATCCCTGGATCTACAACCAGGGATTGAAATCCTTCCTCCTAAACAGGTATCCCTGGATCCACAACCAGAGGAAATCATTCCTCATGAATGGGAATCCCTGGACCCACAACCAGAGAAAATCATTCCTCATGAATGGGAATCCCTGGATCTACAACCAGGGATTGAAATCCTTCCTCATGAACAGGAATCCCTGGATCTACAACCAGGGATTGAAATCCTTCCTCATGATCGGGAATCCCTGGATCCACTACCAGGGATTGAAATCCTTCCTCATGAATGGAAATCCTTGGATCCATTACCAGGGATCGAAATCCTTCCTCATGAATGGGAATCACTACCAGGGATTGAAATCCTTCCTCATGAACGGAAATCCCTGGATCCACAACCAGAGGAAATCATTCCTCATGAATGGGTATCCCTGGATCTACCACCAGGGATTGAAATCCTTCCTCATGAATGGAAATCCCTGGATCCACAACCAGAGGAAATCATTCCTCATGAATGGGAATCCCTGGATCCACTACCAGGGATTGAAATCCTTCCTCATGAATGAGAATCCCTGGATCCACTACCAGGGATTGAAATCCTTCCTCCTGAACGGGAATCCCACATTCCCTGGATCCACAACCAGGGCAAATCCTTCCTCCTGAACGTTGTCAGCCTCACCTACAGCTTACCTCATGGAGCTGACAAGCCCTGAATTTAACACAGTAGTTCCACCCTGAGGAATTTGTTTTCCCGTCAGTGGGAGCTCGCTGGCTGCTGTCTCACCGCTCCCATCGCCCTTCCTGGCGATCCTCATTGCAACCTACAGAGAACAAACACCAAAAATCATCCTTCCAAACACCAAAAATCATCCTTCCAAACACCAAAGAACATCCTTCCAAACACTAAAAATCATCCTTCCAAACACCAAAAAACACCCTTCCAAACACCAAAAAACATCCTTCCCGTACAAAAGTTTTACGCATTCCACGTTGGACAACAATCATGCAGGACCCTGCCTCATGACCCACCCCCTCCAGCAGCTCTCTGGGAAAATTTTTCAGCATTTCCAGCGGTTCACTGTTTTTATTTAATTTATTTTATTTTTTTAACTTTTCCTCTTGACGTGCCAGGACGAACTGCCTGCCACCACCCCCTCAGCCGCGCAGTTTGCGCCCTCAGACAAGTTTAATTTGGGTACAAAGGACGCGCCCGCTCCCTCAGCCGCCGCCGCCGCGACATGGCGGCACGGCACGGCACGGCACGTCAGCGCGCCCTCAGCAGCAGCTCCGCCCTCACGGGGCCTCCTCGCCGCGCCTGCCGCCGCCGCCGCGCTCCCGGCACTGCCACCAGCCCCGTTCTCCCTCATTCCCCGGGGCCGCTCCGCTGTTCTCCCTCCCGGCCGCTTGTCCCGGCGGCCAGCGGCGCTGCGGGCGCGGCGCTGGCCGTGCGGGGCGGTCGGGCGCGGCGGGGCAGCCCCGAGCGCGGAGCGGCTGAGGCGGGGCGGACGCGGCGGTGGCGGCGGCTCCGGCCGGGTCAGTCGGTGCGGAACGAGCGGCGGCGGCAGCACCGCGGGCCGAGATGCCGCTCTTCGCCGCCAACCCCTTCGAGCAGGACGTGGGTGAGCGGCGGGGCGGCCTGCTCGGGCTCTAGCTTCTCTTCTTCCTCCTCGTTTTCCCGCCTCCTTTTCCTCCTCGGCTGTTTCCTTCTCCTTGTCCTCCTCTTTTCCCCTCCCTGCTCCCCGCGCCGGGGGTCGGTGTGGGTGCCGGTGGGTGATCCCAAGGAGGGCACCGTGGCCGCGCTGAGGGCAGGAGGGATCGGCAGCCGTGGGGTGAGGCCGGTGTGACACGGGTCACAGCGAGCCCCGGGAATGCTGCGGGCTGGGAAAGGGTCTGGAAAGCTGGAAAAGGCCTTGGGAGGTGCTGGTCCTCAGCTGGGCAGGAGGCCGGTGGTCCCTGGGCTGTGCCCGTCCCTGTGCTGGCACTGCGGGGGCACCGCCAGGGCTGGGGACAGCTCTGGGACAAGGGGGACGCTGAGGGGCTGGAGAATCCCTGAGGGAGCCGGGAAGGGGCTGGAGAATCCCTGAGGGAGCTGGGAAGGGGCTGCAGAATCCCTGAGGGAGACGGGAAGGGGCTGGAGAATCCCTGAGGAAGCTGGGAAGGGGATGGAGAATCCCTGAGGGAGCTGGGAAGGGGCTGGAGAATCCCTGAGGAAGCTGGGAAGGGGATGGAGAATCCCTGAGGGAGCTGGGAAGGGGCTGGAGAATTCCTGAGGGAGCTGGGAAGGGGCTGGAGAATCCCTGAGGAAGCTGGGAAGGGGCTGGAGAATCCCTGAGGGAGCTGGGAAGGGGCTGGAGAATTCCTGAGGGAGCTGGAGAGGGGCTGGAGAATTCCTGAGGGAGCTGGGAAGGGGCTCAGCCTGGAGCAAAGGAGGATCCCCAGGGATCTTTTCCCTCTCTGGAATTCCCTGCCAGCCGAGGGGATTTGGGATCATCCCAGGGAACAGGGCCAGGAGGAGAGGGAACGGCCTCAGGTTGGCCCAGGGGAGCTCAGGGTGGAACCAGCAGGAATTTCCCCATGGAAAGGGGGTCAGGGATTGGCACTGCCCAGGGAGGGTTGGAGTGCCCATCCCTGGAGGTGTCCCAGGAATTCTGGAGGTGGCACTCATGGCTCTGGGTGGGGACAGGGTGGGCATTGGGCACTGCTGGGACTTTGGGACCTTGGAGCTCTTTTCCAACCTCATTTCTGGGATCCTGAGCACCAGAATCCCAAGGCTTTTCCCGGAAGGGAATATCCATCCAATCCCACCCCAGCAGCAGAGGTGTCCCTGCCCCAGCCCCTTCTGGCAGGGAACATTTTGTGTTCCCCCACAGCTCCAAACCCCTCACACCAACAACAGAAAAGGAGCCCTGAGAGTCCTTAAAATCCCATTTTTTTGCATTTTGGGGGAAAAATTCCTCCTGGCAGGGGCTGCTCAGGGAGGTTTGGAGTGCCCATCCCTGGAGGTGTCCCAGGAATTCTGGAGGTGGCACTCAGAGCTCTGGGCTGGGGATAAGGTGGGCATTGGGCGCAGCTGGGACTGGATGGGCTGGGATGGCTTTTCCAAGCTGGATAATCCTGGGATTCCTCCCGTGGCTGTGGTGGGCCCAGGGCACTGCAGCTCCAGGTCCCTGGCTGGCCGGGCTGGGGGCTCTGGCAGGGAAAGGATCCATGGTTCTCCCTCTCCCTTCCCCTCAGCAGCATCAAGAAATGGTTGTGCCTGTTTTGCTCTTACTCCTGAAGTTTCCCAGCGTTTTCCAGAGGTGTCTCTGTGCCTCCTGGCCTTGCCATGGAGTTTGCAGGGATTCAGGGAATTACAGCTGCTGGAAGATCAGCTGCTTTTCATCCTTTTATTGAGGATTTCTTCCCAGTAGCTTCCCCAGAACCACACAGAGGTTGGGGTGGCTGGGCTGGATGATCGTTTTGGATCTTTTCCAGCTCAGGATATTCTGTGCTTCAATGATTACAGAAGCTGCCTGGAGTTGGGCTGAAGACGGTGACTCAGTTGTTTTGTTTTTTGTCCTGCCCTGACTCCTGCTTCCTTAAACTCGTGCTCTGTGTCACTTTTTTGTTACACAACATCTGTTCTGAATGGCAGCACTGAAAAAAGCAGTGAAATAAGTGAGACACTTTCTTGTTGGCACCCTAGGAAAGAGAAGAATTCAGCATTCCTGGGATTTTTGTCCTGGCCAAAATGGAAGAGTTTGAGTGCTCTTGTTGCCACACAATCTCTGTTTCGTTTTGAGCTGTTTTATTTATTATTTTATTTCTAATTTCAACTCCCTGGTGCAGTTTGCTCTTTGACCACACTCACATTTCACGTGGCTCAAGCTGCTGTATTTGTTCAGGTGGATTTTTTTGGAACTCTGCAGGATTCTTGAACAAACCTAAATGCCTCAAGGACTCCCAGGCTGCAGAACTTCAAAACTGGGACTCTGTTTGCTTCCAGTTTCTTAAACTTTACTCAGTGGATTTTTTTCTTTAATATTTTAATTATATATAACTTATTATTATCACTTATTAAAATTTAGCATGTGCAGTAGAATAGGACCTTGAATTATTGGGGCTAAATCTTAGAGTCCCTTGCCAGGAAAACTTTGTCATTAGAACCTTTAAAAAAATTAGTATTCTGTTGTGAATTAGACCATGCAAAATATCAGATTATCACATGTGGATACTCTGAGGAGGTGCTGAATTTGGAATTTTGTCGCCTTTTGTTGGCTGCAAAAGGTGGGGACAGATCCACCTGCCTCTTCAAGCAGAGCTTCTCTTTCCTTGGAACACCTGTGGGGAAGAAGGAATTTCCTTTTCATACCTAACCCAGCCCTCAGGAGCTTCCATTTCCCTTATGTTTTATTTCCTTTTTTTTTTATTTTTCTAGTATTTATCTTTTTTTTTTTTTTTGCTTTTCCCCAATAGTATTGTTTTTTCCCCAATAGTATTGTTTTTTTCCCAATAGTATTGTTTTTTCCCCAATATTATTGTTTCCCCCCCATATTACTGTTTCCCCCCACATATTACTGTTTCCCCCCACATATTACTGTTTCCCCCCACATATTACTGTTTTTCCCCCACATATTACTGTTTTTCCCCCACATATTATTGTTTCCCCCACTTATTATTGTTTCCCCCACATATTATTGTTTCCCCCCACATATTATTGTTTCTCCCCACACATTATTGTTTCTCCCCATATATTATTGTTTCTCCCCACATATTATTGTTTGTCCCCACATATTATTGTTTTCCCCCCACATATTATTTTTTTCCCCCACATACTATTGTTTTCCCCAATATTATTGTTTTCCCCCACATATTATGTTTTCCCCCACATAATATTTTTTCCCCAATATTATTATTTTTTCCTCCATATTATTATTTATTCACAATATTATTGTTTTCCCCAGTATTATTATTTTTTCCCACTATTATTTTTTGCCACAGCTGGCTTTGCTCCTGTGGTTCCAAGTGCACAGAGCTGAGCAGAGCCTTGGAATGTGCCTGGACACAGCTGCACATCACGGGATAACCCTCTGGAACTCTGGAGGAGTGTGGCTGCTTCCATTGCACAGGAACCTCCAAAACTTTTGGAAAGTTGATATTTCCTGTCTGGCTCCCTTCAGACTCCACGTGCACTTGCTGTTTTCCCAGCTCTGTCCTTCCTCTTCCATAACCTTTTAATTTTTCAATAATTTGTTTTTCTCTTATTTTTCTACTATTTTATCATTATTGACACTATTGACATTTATGACATTATT